TTAAATCCCTTCTTTTATTTTAAGAATAAAGTTACTTTCAACATTATTGCACCTGTCTTCTTTCTGACTACATTAATTAAGCATAAAATAGGATATCTTCTAAATTTGAAAAGACAACAAGAAAAAAAAAAAAAAAAGAATACAACATTCTATAATTTTTTATAAATTGCACAAATTAAATAAGTTGTTCTATAAAAAAATTAAATAACAGCTCATAATCACTACACAGAAAAATTAAACCAAGATATCATTTTAGAGACTGATGTTATTGTGATTTATTCTAAGCTTTTACGTTGCAGGGGAACACTAACAATTTGCTAAAAACAAACTTTATTTAAGTTTTCAAACTTCACAACAGTACCAATTACATAATAAGCTGATCCAATTTCTTTTTTAAATAGTTACTTTTTATTTAAAAATAAAATAGAGGGAGTGCTAGAAACAAGCCTCAGTTATCTTTCATTCATAGTTTGACACTGTAAGAGTGGCAACCTTCTGATCTTTGTTCTAGTTTACTATTATTCCACAGATTTTGAAAATAAACATGATGCTTTTGAACGTAAGATGTAAAATTATTTCAAGTTTATTAGGAGAAAGAAGAATGGTAGTTCTTGCAAATCTCAAACAATTGCTGACCCCGACATGATCGATAAAAGTCAAAGTCAGAATTTTATTGGTTTTACTGAATTTATTTTTATTAGATTTTATTGAAGTGGAATCGTTAGTTGAGAAACAAAAATCTGTTAAGACATCTTTTATGAAAACAATCAATGCAATTTTGCAGGAATTACAAAAAGAAATTGCTGATGAAAAATCTCTGAAAATGAAACTTGTTACTTTAGAATGTTTATCTGTTGAACTAAGTATAATTGATACTAAAATATCAAATTCAGAATTTTCTTCAAATGATCAGTTTGAAAGTGAATGGTCATTTAATATGAGTGGAAACGGAATTATTTTTTAATCGCTAAATGACACAATCCACTGGCAGTGTGCGACCAAACCTGAATAAATGGAAACTGAAATTATCTAAAATAGAATTAAAACAATTCGGTGGCAACATTAAAGATTGGCTACCATTTTGGGGAAAATTTCGGCGAATACTTAAGGATAAGGAAATTCAATATAAGGACAAGATGCATTATCTTGTTCAAGTGACCGTACCCGGTACAAGTCAACATTATACTGTAAGCAGCTTCCTTATAACTGCCAAAAATTATGAAAAGGTTATAGAAAGCTTAAGAAATACGTTTGGCAAGGAAGAATTGTTGGTGGAATTCTATATTCAAGAATTATTAGGTCTAATTATTAAAAATGTTACTGATCGAAAGGGAAAATACAACATATCAGAAATGCTTGACAATTTAGAGTTGTATTTACTTTCGCTGGAGTCAATAGGAAGGACAAGTGACAAATACGCTGTTTACGCTTGCTGAATCCTGTATTCCCAAGGAAATTTTATGAGTTTGGCTTGGAAATCATGCATCAATAATTACAGCAGAAAATTCTCACTCTGAAAAAAATGATACAATTGTTGTTGTTTCTTTACCAGAAAACACAGTTAAAGACGCTGCTGTTTTCAAGGTTGTCATGAGTTAATTTAGCTGGCTTATTAATTTTGAAAGCTTGGTTTATACTTTTCAGCTGTGCTGTTTTCAGAATGGTTTATTTGGAACTGATTTTATCCCTTTCAACTAAAGGATTTTTACTTGGCCTTAGAAGATTTATTGCCCTTACAGGTATGTCATTGATAATTTATAGCAACAAGGGAGGCAATTTCATCAGATCTCTCGAAGTCAACTGATTGGAATACCATCGAGATAGAAACCACCACAAACAAGATCGAATGGCAGTTCAGTCTACCCACAGCACCATGGTGGGGTGGTTTTCGGGAGCCACTTGTTCAAATTCTGTGGAGTTCTAGACTTTGATTACCTTGGTTCTGCTTGATAAATTTGATTTCAGCAAAGGCCCGAGATATCTACAGAATTTACGAGAGCTCTTGAGATAGAGATTTAGGTTCAGTGTCTTGTGATTTTGAGACAGTTCTGCTTGATATGCCCGAGTTTAAACCGGGCAATTTGATGTTTGGCAAAACGCGAGGATATCCACCTTGGCACGCTCGAATTCAAGGAAAAATTCAGTTGAATAAATACAATGTATTCTTTTTTTTGGAACTCATCAAACTGGAGTTCTTAAAGTTAAGGATATTTATCCTTACGAAAAGTTTAAAGAATAATTCTGATAATAGAATAATCCTACAGTTGCAGGATTTATTCCACTAAATGCGGAATGGAAGAAGGTTAATGATTGTGAGCAAGAAGAATACATGAAAAATAAAACCAAAACTCTATGAACAAAAGTGACAAATCTGAAACTGAACCATTATACGGATCGTCACGTAATTACTCCACCTTTATTTAGGTAGCCACTAAGAAAATCTGGCAACAAGTGTAACGAAATATTTTCTCTATGCAACTGGCATCTGTTCATGTTTAGAATTAATTTTGTTTTTAAAAATAAGTTCATAGTTAAATTCTAAGGAGAAAAATTAGTAACTTATCCATTCTCAATATTATGTGATAGACGGATGCGATGCTTAAAGAAAAAGGTCAGTGAATTTGTTAAAATAACTTCACTGATTTAAAGTTTTATTGACATGGAAAATATTACTAAAAGAAGAATACCTGTTAGATCAATGTTCACGAAGCGTTACAATTCATTAATAGCTTCTGTAAATGAAACAGATTTAAAATGTGAGGAAAGTGAAATTAAATTTTTCTTCTTTAGAGTAAATTGCTACAGATCTCACTGAATTGGATAATAAAATTTGTACTGTTTTAATAGATGCCAAATCTGAAGATTTTTACGTTGAATACAAGAAAACTGAAGAATATCGAGAACAATTAGATGTAACTCGTATTCCTAGAAAAGCATGTCCTGACAAATTTTTATGAACCGCTGGCGACGAAAACACATGGGAAAATTGAATTGGTTAAAATATAGTGCGGAGGTGAAAGACTGGCTCACATTTTGGAGTCAGTTCAGCAGAATTCATAATAATGAGTCAATTGGTTATGAAGATAAATTTCAGTATCTCATCCAACGCATGCTAAGTGTTTTGTGATTGAAACCGCATGAGACAGTTCTGCTCGATATGCCCGAGTTTAAACAGGGCGATCTGGTGCTTGGCAAAATGCGAGGACATCGACCTTGGTCGGTTCGAATTCGGCCAAAAATTCATTTGAATAAATACAGTGCATTCTTTTTTGGAACACATCAAACTGGAATTCTGAACGTTAAAGATATTTATCCTTACGAAGAGTATAAAGAAAAAATACTGTAAAGCTCAGAAATCGCGCGTGTTTAATGAAAGTTTATGGCAGAACAATCCTACAGATTCAGAATTTATTCCAGTTTATTGGAATAAATTCTGCAGCTGTAGGATTGTTCTCCCATAAACTTTCATTAAACACGTGCGATTTCTGAGCTTTACAGTATTTTTTCTTTATACTCTAAGTAAGGATAAATATCTTTAACTTTCAGAATGCCAGTTTGATGTGATCCAAAAAAGAATGCATTGTATTTATTCAAGTGAATTTTTGGCCGAATTCGAGCCGGCCAAGGTCGATGTCCTTGCATTTTGCCAAGCAACAGATCACCCCATTTAAACTCGGGCATATCGAGCAGAACTGTGTCAAGCGGTTTCAATCACAACAGACTTGGCAAGTACTGAGACACTGAAATTTATCTTTAGACCTTTATCTTTAAGCAGCACGTTCATACATAACCACAATACTGAGAATGGATAGATTACTAAGTGCTGCTTGCTGCCAGTTGCACCAAGAAAAGATAACTAAAACTAAATGAAACACTTCAAATCTATAAAGACTAACTGCACATAGAATCTAAATTTTTAAAATAATTGTAGTTTTCCTCATTACATTTCCCAGAAATTTTCTTTTTTCATTCCAACTATTTTCAAAACAAAATTAAAGATTGCCAAAAATGTGCCTGCAAAATCTATCATTAATAGCATTTTAAAGTTTTGCCTTTAAAAAATTCACAGTCTGGTAAATAAATAAAACCATCATAGCTTTTCAGGAACAATTCTATGAACATACTTCTGCAATTATATTATTTAATACAGTTAGCATTTCAGAGCCATAAGATTATTCACTAAATTTAAGCATGACTTTAGTATAAAATATACTTACAATTCTGATAATAAATGACTTAGAGGATTCATACTTACATTGTAAAACTTGAAATAAATTTAATTTGTAAATGAAATATAAAATTAAAAGCAGTTCATATTATTTAAATTTAAATAATCGTAAAGCATGTAAAGTACAGTGCATCAATTTATCAGACAATATAACACTCAACCCATTAAAGAACTGGTTAGAACAACCATGAGGTTACAGTAAAGGAACAATTAGAAAAATAAATTAAATTAAAGTGGTCAAATAATCTACAGATTAACCAAAACTTCGTAAAACTGCTAACCAGAAGCTACTGGTAATAATGAAACAGTCTCTAGTTTTAAGTTCCAGCAATTTTAAGCTCCAAAGGCATCTGTATCTATTTGATGGATCTGCACGAGCTAAAACTAATTTTACAGCTGATATGGAGTTAAATAAAATGGTTATAAATACTGTGAAAAATCAACATCTTGCAACCTCTCCTGTATTATAATATAGATGCACATATTAAACTGGATTTCATTACACAAGAGTCATGCTTTAAGTACATTAATATCAGACATATATTGATTAACACGCTAAAATTTTTTTAATAGTTTAAAAAAAAAGAGAGATTCTCCCCTTCATATAAAAAAATATAATAATTATTTGAAATACATACCATATCAGTTTTTAACAATTGCACTTTCCCAACATAAAATTAACATCAATACAGTTAGACAGTTAATCCTATACATAACTATGAATGAATTGATATTAGTTAAAACATAAGCTTTTCTAATTAATTGGAGGGGATTGGTATCACAACTATTTATTCTCCAACATCTTATCATTAAATTAAATTATAAAAAGAAGAAAAACAAAATTTTGGACAAAATCAAAGCTCATCTGAACAACATAACTGATACAGCTTGTTAGACATCAATTATACAAAGCCTTAGATATCTCTGCAGGATGCTAATAAGAATAATACAGGCCGTAAAAACCATACAATTTTCATCCATCTCTTTTTTTCATATATATACTGATAAAATAAATAAACAAGGGGAAAAAAAGACAGCAGATTCAAACATTTTAAATACTACTTTTGGTGGAAACTTACTTTTGGTTTACCTTTAAAAGGGGAAAATGTTGCAATAATTGAATTCCTATAATTTGCAGAATAATATATATCCTACATAGACATAATTAAGCAGTAAACAGTATAAAAGATTACCAAACACTTATTTTGTTTCTCTAAAAAGATAATATGTAACATATAAACCTAAATAAATATTTGCAATTAATGTTAGCATGCATCTCTAAATTTCATAAAAAATCATAAAATATAAAATATGAACTATATAAATACATTTAAAATACTTCTTCATTTATGACATCTGAACTCACAAGATTGTTTGACACATTTCACCCTTTAAATTTTTAAAGTCAATACTGATGTTTAGGAAAAAAACTGCAAACAATATGTCTCTAAATACAAACAGTAAGAGAAAAACTACATTCCTTCAAGACAAAACTAATTTTTTAACATCAAATACATGCAATTCTTCATTAGCTTTATACTTCTCATACTTTTTTTTTTAAATTGAAATACAAAAATATATAGAGCAAGCTTTTTTTTTTTTTTTTTTTTTTTTTTTTTTTTTAGAAATTGTTTAATGCAGTTCATTGTTAAAAGTACCATAAATTCTGAATAGTCATGGTAATGAAAACTGATGAAGGCAAAACAGTGACTTGGTACCTTCCAATGAGGATTATGTTATCTGCATCATAACTCTTACTATTCATGCTGATAAATACTGTCCATTCTACTGAATGAGGAAGCATATGGAAGTGCAGCAAGATCACATTCTCATTCCAGACCTTTACACCAATGCTTCAAACAGATCCCATGATGAAAATATTGTATCTTTAACCAACATGATGCAGTGCTAACCTAAATATATCATGTTCTACATAAAAACTATCTCCTAAACTTTTTAAGACAAATGTTTGATGAAAAGTATGTGGATGATCATCATCAGTCTGAAATAAATAAATAAAAAATAAATTCATTTAATAAAAAATGTATAAACTATAAATATATTACAAAGCCAAAAACCATTTCGGGAAAAGTTTTAAATGTTTAAAATTATAAACTTGGAAGAATGAGATAAACATATAAGCACAAGGGAAAAAATTATATATGTAGTTACTTAGAACACTTTTGTATGGCAGTATTTCAGAAACCCAGTTTAAGCACACGTAAAAGCTCAAGTTTTTAAAGCAGCAAAACATGCAAGCTTTGAAAAATAGAGCATTTTTTTTTCATTTACATATCTTCATTTTATAAACTTACATATCGTCCCTGAAAAATGACAACTGCAGAATTACAAGAAAGACTGCTACATATCACTTTTTTCATTTTGAACAATGCATAGACAAGTAAAATATTCTTCACTAGCATTAGGTGTACATGGAGTTCTGGATCTGATCATAGTATGCATAATCTGCAGGAGGATATTCTGTATAGGAGATCAATATGCCCTTTCTTTAATTGCTTCGGCTAGATTTTTTTTTTAATGGCAAAGCCCACAACAGCTATTTGCTTGAAAGGAGGGAAAATTTCTGAGGGATTTTCTATTGAAAACCACCTTGTATATAAGTTGGGGAAAATTATAAAAACACCCATGAAACTAGGCTGCTCACCAAGATTTGAAACCAACTTGAACTACCAGTGTGTTTGGTCTTACTATTCCGCCACTGATAGGCCACAATAAAGAGAAATGAACTCCAAGCCACTATATATTTCCCAATTAAACTATTCTACTTTAAACATATGTACTACATGGTTTGCGATAACAGCACTCTTTTCTTTTAAAGCATACTCAACAAGAAAAGAGTTAAATTTGTTTTCAATATATAGCAATACTATTTTAAAACTAAAATAAATCAATAAATTATAGTCATTTCTCTAGATACAGAAGCTATATTGCAGTGAGGTACTGGCCTAACTACAGAATCAGTGCTCAGATACTACACTTGCATTTGCTTCTCAAAATATATTCCTTTGATTATTGAAATTTTATAACAGTAACAATATGTTATATGATCATGTTTAGGCCTTCCACATCATCTGCATGGAGTAAGACATCAATATCCTTCTCTTATCTGTTATTAAAAGCAAATAAAAACAATCTTAACAGAAGTGCAGTGCTTATAATTAATCCTGATTGCTAATCTGGCATCCAAAATAGTGCTGGTAGGCTGTTCTAATTATAAGTGGTAATATGCATGTTATGCTTCACCTGCACAATATATCCCATGAATAATAAGAGGTATCACAATTAATACACAAGGTAGAATGATTATATGCACCTGTTCATAGGCTTATTACAAGTAACATTAACCAATATTATAAATGATTAAACATAATAGTTTACAATGCTTCTGCTTTTGCATTCTGATATCACCCACCTTGATACTTATATCCTGCTCTTTGGTGTCATTTTCTTGCATCCTGAATGCAACTAAAAATGTCATTAATATCATCACACAGAAAAAATGGCATACAAATATCTTCAAGATGAGAACTAATTCTAATTTCTTAAGATGACCTTCAATATTCCTAAAGCTAATATTTATTTATATTTTCAAAAGAAATAAAATTAAAAAAAAAACTCTCCCTCATTTTCATTTTAATGTTGAAATTTTTCATCATGTCTGTCAGTTCCTGAGTTCATTATTTATCAACTAGTAACACTACAAGCATGATCAGTTCCATGGTCACTTTCCTACTGACACGGCTGAGGAAACAATTACGAAAGAGGTGAAGTAATGTGCATAACCATGATGCACTGTACTTCTGGAACACCATTCAAAAATTACAAAAGCATACAGACTTTCCTAAGAACCTTGTATAATAATTACACTGGCATAGATTGACTAGCTGCTATACATTTGTAAGGTATCAAATATACATAAACTATAAAAAATTAAATGTACCAATTCATACTTACTTTGGCAATTTCAAAGAGTACATTTTTAGCAATTTAGAAATTAGTGTAATAGTATTTTATATTGAATCACACATGGAATTTATTTATCACTGTTATCATTATTGATAATTGTAAGAGCAGTTAGTCTTGTTCTGATATGCTGATTTTAATGTTAAAACATATCTTTCCACGTCAGTTCAGCAAAAAGTTGAAAAAAAAAATCTATTCTCAACTGTTCTGCATAATTCATATTCTCAAAACTACTGTATATTCCTAAACTACAACAGCATAATATTACTGTATTTAGAACCCTTCCCATCCATGTGTTAATTTTCTATATATAAAACCAAGCAGCTTATCGTTATGGTTCTTTTTTTTTTTTTTTTTTTTCTTTGAGTCATGACAGAGTTTCAGTGAGCTCAGACAAACTCTGGGTCTCATCTCTGAATTTTTTCCCTTCGACCTCAAACAACTCCAACATCTCATCTTTCTCTGAAGGGAGAAAGAAAATCTTAGTGCATGTTTGAAAAATTTAACTATGAGCGGTTTAGTAATACTTGGGCAAAAAAACAACAGAAAGGCCAGCATTATTAAAATGCAGACAAATATATATATTTATGCAATTTTTGTAGCTTGCTGGAACTTTATTAAAAGTTGAGTTAAGCTAAGCAATGCTGCCCTAGGTTACAACAGAATGTTTTTATTTTAAGTATTCATTAGTTGTGCTAATTTTTACATTATATTTATTTATTCAAGTATTAAAGCTGTCCATCTAATTTCTCATATTGCACATCGCTTTTCTGAATAAAAGGGTGCAAGATTAGAAATACACACTACCCACAGTTGCACCGCTCAATACCATAGAAACACTATTTTAGCAGATGAATGACAGCAAATTTTCTGCAGTTTTAAGTGACATGAATTTATTTGTTTCTTCGTTTGTTTTTCAACTTCTTTGACAAAAATGTAATTTCATGGTACTGTTGAGTAGCTATCCTTAATTGCACACATAATACTAACACTTAACATTGGTTTCTACACTTCATGTACAGTTCTGATAAAGCATGCTTCAAAAACAAACGGAAAAAAATAATTAGGCATTTAATTCTAGTTATGTCATTGGAATCCATCTTTTGTGCTAATAAGCTGAATTTCTAACTTTCCAACTTTTAACTGTAAGGAAAACCTTAATAGTACTTTCTTACAGTCTATTAATTCCATTTTGTTTGAAGTCAATAAGAATAATGTGTTTTAACTATATGTATGCAATTTATTGGTCTGGAGTTAAATTTAGGATTAAGATCATTATAATCAAAGGCAGACAAATCTGCAGAACCAGGGCAGCAGATCACACCATGGAAAATGAATCATTGATAAAATAACCACCGATTTCAGAAACAATGAATAAAATTATACACTGTATCTACAAAAGTCCTTAGGTGGCCTTTATTTGTGCATGTTTAAAAGATACTTGTTTTGACATTTTTAAAGTTAAAAAAAATCAATTTTTCTAAAATTATGATATCTAACTTTTGTATATTCCTTCAGTTCCTACACTTATAGGAAGGAAAATTTCGTGTTCATTATAAAAGATAAAATGTGACATCCATATCATAAAAATTTATCAAATATATTTTGTATTAAAATCAAAGATCATATTCAGGATCTACACACAAACTGAAGAGCAGAAAGCTTGGATTTATATGTAACTAAAAGAAATATCAGCGGTGAAAATGTTCTTTGATGCTAAATTAAGTAATGAGTATTTTTATGCCAACTATCATAAAAGTACTGAATATAAATTTCTTCAAAAAGGAGATTCACAAATTTCAAGAATTTCTGCTCCAGATGACACCCACAGGCTTCTGTATTGCCATATAACCAAACTGTAACATTAATAGCAAATTAACAAGTAAGAATATTTTTAGTTCGGTGAACTTTCTGCATAATTACTAGACTATGATTCTAAAGCAATAAAACTTCATGAGAATATTAACTTAAGTATTTCTAGCTTCTGAAAATTTATAAATTACCTTATATTTCCATGTACAAGTTGAGAATTTTGGAAAAGTTTTTAAAAGCTATTTTACAAGGGTTGGCTTATTTATGAAATGTCTTATTTTCAAAATTGCTTATAATGCTGGTTCAAAAAAATTCACTCTCAGCTTATGCACAGATCTGCTTATATTTGGAAATACATGGTAATTGCATGAAAATGTTCAGCCGCATACCAGTAAATCACAAAAAAATATTATTGAATGACAATTAAGGGGAAAAAATCAACCACAAATTATTCTAATTTAGGTATTAACCAGTTCCTTAAGAATGACATAAAATATATCACTCATATTTTATGTCATTCGTGACATTAAAAATACTGATATAAAAATTTTTGAACTTAAATTTAAAAAATGACAAGACATAAAAAACAACAAAAAATTTCAGATTTTGAAAGGAAGTATCTCAGTCAAAATTTTTTATATGGGAGTCAAACCCTTTTGTATTTTGTTTTTTATAGTGAGAATAAAATTTTCTAAATATAACTATAGGGACTGGAAAAATGTATAAAAAGTTAGATTTTGTAATTTTTATAAAATTAATTATTTTTAATTTAAAAATGCCAAAACATGAAAATCTGCATTATTTAAGACATTTTTGCACTGGAAGTTTAAGTCAACAATCAACAATTGTGAAAATATAGGCTGCTGTAACATAAATAAATTTACCTGAACAAGAATCTCCTTTTTTTGGAATGGGGTCAGTGATCCTTTAATAGTCATAGTTACAACTGCCTTCAGTTATGTGGTTCAGATAAATTTTTGCGGAGGACAATCTGGCTGGTGTCGAGCAGCAAATTCAAGTTTTAAACTTTTGTTTAAATATTTTGATAAACTTTAAAAATCAGGATCTTAAAAAATTGCACAATATTTTCTTTTATTACAAAGTAGACAGAAAACTTGGAAGGAACAGATGCCAATATTTGTAATTTGTACTACCCATTCAAAGCACTCAAGATTCATACTCAATATTTTCACAACTTAAGCATAAAGCATATAAAAACCAAATATTTTCTTAATGGAGAAAGCATTACTAAAATCAGTTTTTCTATGTGTCCTCAAGATGAAGCAATGAACAGCGACCAAACAGCTTCATTTTTTAATACTAACAGCCACTTCTGTCATCCTATAGTTTCATTCTGATAAAGTTATAAGCTTATACTGTTATTCCGCTTTTGACCCCTAGGTGAATAATTTTTAACACATTTAAGCATTTTGAAAATTTTGAAAAAAATATTTTATTTTAATCTTGTTGGAATTCACAATCAAGAAATTCGCTTACCTTAAGTTGACCAAGCACACAAATTAGAATGCCACCATCAAACATAGGCTGTGTATCTATTGCTGTTATGATGTGGGCGATCTTTTGAAATGTTAAAGCCTATAAATGATTCATAATCAATCTACAAAACTGATATTAATTGATAATATTCTACAAAATTAGTATGTTTAATGAGTGTACAAAACTCATATTTCTAATCCGTTTCTTTGTCTTTCAAATTGCAGTCACTATTCAAACTCTGGGAAATACTTTTAAGAATTGCTCCTACACAATGTTTTACTAATTAATTTATAAAACATGAGTAAAACAACCATTTAGTTTACTGTAACAAATTTTCTTTTCAGTAGAAAAAAAGGAATGCAGTTACTAAATGAGGCGGGATATCAATTGCAAAGAGTTGAAACTCACAAAATTATTAAATTGTAGCATATTCGTGTTCGACAATTAAAAAAAGCTAAAGCAAATGAAGCTCAATTTTTCATAGCTTCATGATAAATACTTTGATAAGACCTGCACAAAAGTACCCAATCTGTATAAAAAACTTATTGGCTTCTAAACTTCCTATAAAAGCATGGCAATTAAATTACATGAAGCACCATCTTTTCAATACATTACTTGAAAAGTTTTTACCAATAAATTATCTTTTTGTACCATTTCAATCATTGTTTCTGACTAAAAAAATTATAAACCCACCTGACATATCCTCGATGGACTCAGTTTGCCCCCATTTTACTTGTATTTGAAATGAAAATTGCACCTTTCAAATAAATGACATTTCTCTAAATAGACAAATCTAACCCATAAGAAGAAAGGTAATGAGCACTATCTAAAACTACTAGAAATAGAAATGTTTATTAACAACAAAACAGATTCAAAAATTCAAAGCAGCAATATTCCTTTGCTTCCATTTTGCAGAAATTCAGATATATCTACTTCAACAAAAAAATTCCAAATGACTGACTATTTAAATGAAAAAAAAAAACCTATTCTTTGTCCAACTTAATGCAAGCAATAAGCAAAGAATTAAATAATATATTCTTGGTGGAATTAATATTAGCACAGTTCCACTTTTCTTGCTGTAATAGTAGTTGCATTATTAATTATTATTTTAGTCACCAGATTTTTTACAAATAGATATTTTTGATTTTTCCCATAACTTTGAAATCTTAAAAATCAGGAGATTTTTGTGAGAAATCCTGAAGAAACTTGAATTGTTTCACATTGTGCAGCAATGCCATTTCAAAGGAACTCCAAACTGACTTTAATTCAGTTACAATGCATGACTCATGTTATTTAATTACTTGTAACACAATTCTGATGTAAAATATATTAGTATTTAACTAGGTAATCTAAATTTTATGTTCTTTGGCCAATTTCATTTAAAAATATTCTTATATTTTTATATTGAGAAAATCTTGAGTAGTGAAGGAAAGCGTTTTGTTTATCAAAGCACTTTTATATATGATGAAAATAAAATTAAAAGCTGATGTATGTAGTATTTGTGTGCATAAACCTACTAATGTACCACACATTGAAGTAAAATTGAACACAAACATTACATTAAATATAATTAAACAATGCTTGAATCTTCACCTATAAATCTACAAATGTTTTACAGTAAATTCAGACTCAGACCACAACTCAGGTCAAATGAAACTTAGTAAGAAAAATTTAATAATGTCAGTGAAATGTAATAAAAAACAGAATTCAGATGAAATAAAATGTAATAAATAAAATTATTAGAAGTGAGGAAATGGAAATTAAGGTTAATTAATTAATTAAATTTCATTTACTGCTGGGAAACATTTTACTTGACAATGGATAAAAATTAAAAACCGGGGAGATGTGAAGAAAAATTAGGAAACAACTGGTGAAACAGAGAGTTGGCAGATAAGTGGAAGCATATTTGCTTCAAGCAGCACATATATTTATGGTTTTATTATTAGAAGAAAAGTATATATTTAGCACAATTCTCATATATTAGAAATTACAATATACACTCATACCCCCTTGGGTATCTATGGTTTCAGTTATCCATGATTCATGAAGGAGCAAAAATATCCTCTGAAATTTGAAACCAAGTGATAAAAATCTACGGTCAAATGCCAAACACAGCCACTGAAACAAACTAAGCACTATATTCCCACAGTAAACATGACTATACGCATAACCATACACTTTCCTAATAGATGTAACTAAATGGAAGAAGCATGAAACTAGTCACCTTCAGAAACTCATGTATATTCTTAGATTACAGGTTGCTCCTTAGGATTGCACTTTTCTCAATTGCTTTTTCTCTCATAATGGCTATACAAATGTCAGCAGGTTGACCACAGCAATCAATAGTCAAAACATCTGACTTCTTTTCCTTCCCCATACACACAGATTTTCCTCCTAAATTTCTCTTAGATCTGCTTGCAATAATTTCCCTTTTCTCATTGGCAACATTTTATTGTAGCTATTGATATTCAAAATTTCTTTTTTATTAATACTGCATTGTTTCTAAACTTAAGAGAAGCTACAATGACTTAGCTATTGAGAAAGCAAAAACTCTAGAGAGTAAATTTTGAAAATAGTACATTAAGTGACAGAGTGCAGAGTATCTTTTATTATTATTTATTAACAATGCCTTACCTCGCCAAACTTCACCGAATTTATATGTTATGTGAATATTCTGTTCTACATCACATCTGCTGTTTATCTATTCCAATATACTGCATGTTTTCAAATAGCTGTGGAATGCTCTGGAACGAATTACTAGCAGATGTGGAATTACTACTGTAATGTGCCAACATTTATATCAAATTTAATTCCAATGTTTCTTTACAGAAAATGTTCTGTTCTTCACTGACAAAACCTGAGAGATCCATTGCATGCTGCAAGAAGTGTTGCCTGCAGTTTGGATGTACTGAAAACCACAGTTGTCAAAGCTTCTGCACTCTGTTCTGTTGATGCTTCCTTATCGATTTTTGTTCATATAGACGCTGCAACCTGGAGGTAAGTAACAATGTGTCGTCTCTGTGAATTTTTTTCTCATTAGATATAATGAAGATTATACGTAGCCATTGCAGATATCATGGGCAGAGGAGGTGCATTTCTCCTTAACTGAGTAACTGGGAACATGGACCCCAAAAACTGAATTCACCGGGCTGATGAAAATCCTCGCGATGTAACACCAGCACCTTTACACAAAGCTAAAGTAACTGTATAGTGTGGCATCACAAGCATTCCTTTTAGGCCCATATTTCTTTGAAGAGACCACTTCTATAGGTACGAAAGCATGGTCTATTGTAAATGCTTGCAACAACAATGTTGCAGAATTACATTAATTTCAGAATTACAGCAGTGAAATGTCATTAATGACACTATGGATGCAAGATGGTACTCCTCCACACATCACCACATGTGTATGACAATTGCTGCAACAGCACTTTGGAGACAGTTATTTCCTATAAGTACGCAATTTCGTGGCCACCATGATCCTCCGACCTCATTCCAATGGATTTCTATTTCTGCGGTCATCTGAAATCTAAGGTGTACACATCAAATCCATGAGATCTGTAAGAATTGAAAGATGCCATAAAACGTGAAGTAATACAGACTTTTCCCTGCTGTTACGTTCATCATTGCTGTCAACAGTCTTATATATGCAATGCGCTATCATCTATGAAAATGGGCACGTTGTAAACTTGTAATTCCAATAGTTTTTCTTCCTTTCGTCTATAGTGTTTTCATTGGTCCTTTACAATAGTATTTTTTGTAAATGTTTTAAGTTGGCTATTTTCATATATGTTCATTGTTCCAATGCCATTTATAGCTTTTCTATGTGCTAATCAATCTACGCAGGAAAAAAGATAGTGTTGCCGTTTGAAAATTTTGAAATATTTTCATTGTAACTGTAACCATGAGAGCTGTGTTGTTTTAAATCATCAAAATCTCAAGCACATATCTTCAAATACCAATATCTGAAATTTCATTTCAATCGGTTCAGCGGATAGGCTGCTAGGGATTCCTATATCAGGGAAGTTTTTATAACCACCCTGTATTTTTTGTTTAACTTCTAGATGTAATATCACTAGATTCAAACTGTGATTTAAAATCTAGGAACTTAAGAAATTGCCAAATCCCAATGATTCGTGATCTCAGACTTTGTATAACATTTACTGAATTTGGTTGAATTTTTTTTTTTTTTTTTTTTTTTTTTTTTTTTTTTTTTTTTTTTTAACTTTTGAATTCGGTTTGTATAGCATTTGCTGAATTTACTGAATTGAATACAACTTTTTACTGAATTTGGTTCAGTAAAAACTTGTCAATCAGCGTAGATAATAAGTAGAAACTGAAAATTAATAGAAGCATTAAAAAATGTGTGGCATACAGGTAGGTTTATTTTAATCCCTTTAAAGAGATACTTAGCTTAAAAATTTCACACAAAAATTATTATAGTATAATCTTGATCTTCCCTCATAAAAAAAAAATCTGAACAAGTAAAATGAGAGCGATTTTAAACTTTACAAAATACACATTCTCATTCACATAACTAAAATTCTCTAAAATGTATCCAATTACAGATTATATTAATTCCGCGCATGCATTTCAAAATGAATTTGTACTTACTTGTAACTTTTCCATTATTTTTGTTCTTCCAAACAGCTGCTGGTCTTCAAATGTCATTAATGATTTCTCTTCCTACAATAAAAACAAATAATTTTAACATGTTTGGGGATTACAAAAAAAGAAAGGCATTAACTCTTATATCACTTAATTTAGACTTTTTAACCTATTTATCTAATATATAAATTAAACAACAAAAAGTATAGAAAATGTTGAAAGATATCAAAACTTGAATAAAAGCACTTTTTTATATTCATACACACACTAAATGCTTAACAGATAAATAAAAGGCTGACCGCATTATTCCCTGCTGAGAACCCCTGATCTTGTCTAATCTGTTGAGTCAGAAGTTTCTAGTGATTATTTTAAAAAATGGAACAGCTTAAGTATTAGTCCTTTTGGCGATTTTTTTATTTGGCGATAAAATTTTTTCGCCAAGGCAGACCCGGCTTTGAGGATCGGAAAAAAATGGCGGATCGTCAACAAAACCCGTCAAAGATAAATATAGCTACACTAAATTACAATCCTAAAGAATAAGCTCTTGATTAGCATACTCCAAAAACTGTCTTTCGCTAATTTTCAGCACTTGATAAATTTTTGAAACACTGCCACAAATGAATCGTATGTTATGAGTCATGAAATTTACAAAATTGGTTAATAAATGCATTTTAATCATGCTATTTTAGTTCCTTACATTTTTTATTAAAGGTAAAAAAAAAAAAAAATGTTTCAAGTTGAAGTAAATCAAATTAAATTATCATAACGAGTAAATTTTGTACCCGTGGTAATAATACACAGTGTTAGAAATACTGTAGAGTCATTAGGATTTTTTTAGAGGCCAGCAAGATGAAAAATTAGCAAACGCCTTCGCCGGGAATCGAACCACGGACCTCTGAAATACCGGCTCAGTGTGCAGAACCATTACACCACGAAGGACGCTAGGAAAGTGGGAGAAAATACCTATATACTCCCCTTTTTTTAAAGGCGACTAGGGTTTTAGGGGACCTAGTCGCCAAATCCTGGGTGCGGAGAACCATCATCCACAACCCTTTTAGTTCGGGCGCCACTTGTAGAGTCATTAGGATTTCTCTAGAGGCCAGCAAGATGAAAAATTAGCAAACGCCTTCGCTGGGAATCGAACCACGGACCTCTGAAATACCGGCTCAGTGTGCAGAACCACTACACCAAGAAGGACGCTAGGAAAGTGGGAGAAATACCTTATATACTCCCCTTTTTAAAGGGCGACTAGGGTTTTAGGGGACCTAGTCGCCAAATCCTGGGTGCGGAGAACCATCATCCACAACCCTTTTAGTTCGGGCGCCACTTGTAGAGTCATTAGGATTTCTCTAGAGGCCAGCAAGATGAAAAATTAGCAAACGCCTTCGCTGGGAATCGAACCACGGACCTCTGAAATACCGGCTCAGTGTGCAGAACCACTACACCACGAAGGTCGCTAGGAAAGTGGGAGAAATACCTTATAATGCTTTTTATAAATTAAACTATGTAAATGTAATTATAACTATGTAATGTAAACTATGTAAATGTAAAAATTATTAAGAAGCATGTTTTTTTAATCACTCAGTTTATTACAAGTAATTTGTGATTATAATTTAAAACCTAAAATTAAATTATCATAACAAGTAAATTTTGTACCAATGGTAATAATACACAGCAACAACTGCCCAAACTAATGATTTCTGTAAAAGACTCGAACAGTCATTGGAGTTCACTAGTGGTGGAGTGATCAGCCACTGAACACTGGTAATTCACGCGGGCTCGTATGGGAGTTTTTCCTTACATGTGGCGTGAATCTGAGCCAGTTTCTCTTAAAAGGTCTTTTACGAAAGCATCCTTCCTCTGGCAGCCTGCAAATATATTTATTTTCTATTCATAAATACTGTTCTTTCATTTTAAACAGATTCCTATATTTTGTTTGCCCTTTTACAACAACTATCAGACAACAAAAATTAGCTTGTTTTAATAAAGAAAAAAAGAATGTTTTTAATTATGAGTTAAATGAAATAGTTTGAAAAGTAATGTTACTTTTGACTCTTCTATGCTTCACATTGCTGTAGCTATTCACATCGTTTTTATATGAAAAGCTTTATACAGCAATGGTTTAAAGTTGTGATAATAATATTTGTAGTTACCTCATTTTGAAATATTTTTTCCAACAGCAATTGAGTGATGTTTCTTAAAACATAAAATTAATTGATTTCTTAGAAAATAAATCTTATTTCTGAAGTAAAGAAGTGTCATATCTATAGGCTGAAAACTACGGTCAATATGTTTACAAACTCCTGTTCAGTTTTTAACAACATTTAAGTAAAATAAATAATTGGTATATGATGTAAACAAAAATGTATTACACTATTTCATGCAGTGAATAATCAATCAGGGTACAATGCAAGGTTCTTTATTTTAAGTAACCAGAGTTATTTCATGTTTGGGATGTTTAATGTCACTTCACCCGTCTGTTTTCCCACCAGAATGCAAACTTTTGTTCGCATGTATTTAAGGTGAGGATTTTAGTTTGTAAAACAAAGAGTGTTTTGCTTGAGGCCATGTTACTAGGTTGCTAAATAAGATATCTTCTGTCTTGCATTATAATTGGCAATAGTTGAATTCCATACCGGTTAAGTTTTGAGCCAACTTCGCATCAAATTGATTTGTTTATCAATTTATTTGAATTTAAATTTTACATCTGAACTTAACTGTTATCATAAATTATCTTGTCACAAGTGGTTGGCTGAGTTGTAAGCACAAAGTACACCGTCTGTTCTTATTTAGTTTTAAAAAAGGATCTTTTACACCCTTCTCATAATTCAGTTGTTATTTTAGATGTAGTGATAATTCGCTTAATGTCTACCTTGAAGTTTAGTTACACTGTATGATTGCAAAGAATATATCTAAACTTTATAATAATTACATTTAATGATGTTGAAATCGGTATTTAAGTACTTGTAATGTAGTCAAATTTTTATACATAAATTTTACTCTAACTTTTATTACAGAGTCTTTATTACAACAAATTCAGATTTATGTTAGATAAAATGTCTAAGTAATTGTAGAAAATTTAAAATAAAAAGTCGACAGTTATGTCAACATACTATTAATCAAAGTAATGATACTCAGTGAAGGTTATTCGTATACAGCTATTAAGGTTAAGAGATTTACAAGATTTGAAAACTGCAAATTATGTGCAATATATTACATAATCTAGGTAACATTATATATTTTATAGTCAAAATTATAAAAATTTTACAAAAGCAATAATGAAAACCTGATTTTGCTCTATAAATTCACAAAATTACACATCCCTATAGTTCTAATTTAAGAAATGAAGCAAAAAAGTATTTTCAGATCATGATAATTTTGATAATTGCACATTTTAAGAAACATGTAAGATGTGTAAATTTGTATGTGGTTCCTTAGGAAAGAAAACACAAAGAGTTTACCTCATGCTACTAAAAAGCTGTGCTTTTGGGGGGGGGGAGCTAATGGAGTTTATAATATGGAGGATTGCCATTTAAAAAAATGTAATATTAAAAGTATCAGTCTTAGCAATCAAATTTTTGGCATTTTTCAAAACTATATGTTAAAAGTTTTGTTTTTATATTGAGCTTTCCTAAAACAAAAGTTACTAAGAAAAACTTGCAATTTATCCGTACCGCCATCAAAGCTCGGATGTCTACAAAATTCGTTAAAGTTACGTGGACAAAAATGGCGACATGTGTTTCAGCTCAATGTTCAGGAACAGTAATCACGGACCCCAGTTTTAGGATTATCATAAATAATTGGGTTATCATAATTTTTCATTAATTGCGTCCAAAAGTCGCCAAAAAAATTCGCGTTGAAAAGGACTAATACTAAAGCTGTTTCAAAAAATTTCTCAACCAGCAATTTTGACCTTACGATACAACTTTTCAAAATTTACATTTGTCAGTAACAACTCATATTTTAAATCAGCGTACATTTTATTCTATAATTAAATCAGTAAAAATTAGGTCATAAAGAATAAATTTGAAATTTTTCAATGAATCAGTTGACCTTACACAGGTGGTATGACATAAAATATTTTACATTTACGAGCAATCAATCTTGAATAACAAAATCCAAATTTTACAGAAAGTAATTGGAGAAAGAAAATGATCATTATAACATCAATCAACATTTTTTATGAGAGGCATTAACTTAAACATTGTTTCATACAAACCAGTACCAATAGTTAAGTATCGCTGATTTATCGCGCCAAGCGCAACGAATGGCGCGTGAAATAACCTTGCTTGCAAAACGGAAGCGTTGAGGCGAAGCAAAGAAAGATATATAGATATTCATACACATCCGAGCGGACTGCGTATCCGTTAGGAGAAAGCCTTTAAACCCAAGGTCAAACCCTTTTCCGGGACAATGCCTCGAAATAAGCTTTTCTCGGAAACCTCATTTCCGTAGATTACCATCTTCACTTAGTAAACAAACCTTCAAGCCAAACAGGAATCAATTATCGTTCAGATAGGGGAAAAAGGCATTTGTTTTCAAACTGCGTGTTGTATCGCTCAAATTATATTCTTTTTAAACTTGTTTGTTAGTTATGGAAGATAACAAAAAGGTCGTGGAAAGCATAGAAAAACAAAAACTTTTACAATAAGAATCTTTATGGCTGATATTTCTATTCTTACAGCCAGCCGACACTTTACTCAGCAAAATGAAGATTAAATAAAGCAATATTATATTATTATTATAAGGGCACAGCCCCGATCCTCCTAGACGGCCGTATGATGAAAAAAATGGGACTGGCCAGAAAAAAACACAAATATAAGGGAGGGGAAACATATAAAGTCCAAAATTTGAGTGTCATTGCCGAATTCCAACTCTGTTCGCATTTTCAATAAATAAAGCATATACATACATGAGCATTCAAACATGTTTGAGTTAGTGGCTATCCCGTATAACACTCGATAATATACCCAAAACACATTAATTTTACCGACTTAAAATCAGAAGGATTACATATTGAGAAAGTACCATATAATACCTTAAAGAAACATCAAAGTGACAATCAGCTGTGCACTGTATGTTTTAGATGATCAAATGTGTTATGAATGTATAGCTATTATTCAAAAGTCATGCTTATACTATGTAAATCATACATAGGATATGATTACGTATTATCCCAAAAATAAAAAGTCTCTTTCATGTCTATGCTCATCAAGTATTTTTCAAATGTGTATTCCATAGCCAAGAAAATGTGCAAAGAACTGATGAGTACAGTTGCTGTTAATTCCGTGATCATTATACGAATTAGAAGTGACTTCAAATAAACTTCTTGGCAATGTTAATTTTTATATTCATATACACATACAAATACATATCTAATAAGTAATATATTTACATATACATAGAGTGTGAGAGAGAGAGATACGATGGTTTAGAATTTGTTGATGGATGTTTATCAGTATAAATGCAATGAATAAGATTTATATTAATGAATATATATACAAATGCTTTTCATCATGCATAATAATAAATCTATTCAAATGTTTCAATATGTAGCATTTACAAGAAAAGTACAGTTTCTAATGTATTTATAATATAGAAAATATTTCATTAGTAACATAAAAACAATAGCATACAAATTTTAAAAAATTTTCCACCTCAAATTTAGTAAAACCAATTCTATTAATATATAACAATGTTAATTTTCCTACGCTATGGGTCAATATGAAATACAGTACAAAGTCCGAAATCCGGAATGATTTAAAATCCGGACTTCAAAACCACCAACAACGTTTTTCTCGTAGGCTTTATGCACGCGCATTTCATTCCCTCCTCCGCGCATAATAAAACATCTGGAGAGTCCCGATTCCCAATTTCACTTAGATCCTAACTAAAATACCTTGTTATTGAAGAAACAATCATTTTACCATAAATATGTGCGATCAGTAACTTGGCTCAGTTGCTGCGTGCCTGGCACACACCTCAAACCAAAACATTCCACATAGATACATCGTTGATCTGACGTCAACCTGGCGAATCATTATTTATTATATTTTTTCCCTTTCATAACCGCATGTTTATCAACACATGACAACTTGAGTAATGACTCATGTAGTGATGCCTAAACAACTTTTTTATGTTAGTAATTGAATAATAAAGGAGTATGGTAACTTTTTATGTTGACCTTACGCTTGGCGATGATTACAGATTTAAGTTAAATGCACTAAAAAAATGTTGATGAGGAAAAATTTCCTTCCATATGCTAAAAATAAATTTTGTTGATGATACTCATAGACCCAAAGATTACATTTAGGGCTACTTGATTTAAGAATAACTGATTTGTTATTCCCATAAACCCAGAACCAGCGCCAGGGCTGGTATGACCGCATTGGGTCGCAAAATTTAGGACCCACAGAGACTGTATCAGGCGGTAAGATATCTAGCGCCGGCGCTCAATAAGGCTTAAGTATATGTGGGAATTTATTTATTCAGAACTCTGATATTTATTCAGAACTCTGATATTATTCTAAATCTGATAATTTATTTATTCAGAACTTAATCATGTGCAAGAACTAGGCATAAGTATAATAAATAACTAAACTAATACAATTCAGGCTTAATTGTGTTAGTGCGCGATAGAAGCAAGATAAAATTTAACGGGTAAACTTGTTGTTAGGTGCCAAGCTCATGATGCATAACCAAATATGTATAGTGAACGATAGCTAAATTTGATGATGATAGCCGCGAATTTTAATGTTTCCGGATATTGCAAAACAAAGGTGAAATTTTCTAATTAACGGATTTTGTAAAGAAATGTGAAGAAGCAGTAATAAATGAATATGATATAAAAGAAGTTTCTCATTGTGATGACAATACTTCTCAGTCATCAATCAATTAATGAATGGCGTAATCTGTAGTATGGTTCTAGATCCAGAAAGTACCGCTACCGATAGTGACAGAGAAGTTACTGAAAATGAAAAAAAATCGATTGACAAGTTAGTCGGAATTCTCGGCACAGCAGTTACAGGACTTTAACAATGTAATTAAACAAGAGATTATGTCTGTCTACAGAATTGAAGAGAAAGTATTAGCACAAAAAAAGAAGCAATTTAAACAACTTACATTGAAAGAAATGTTTAATAAGGTGAACAAATAAATATTAAGTTTTTTTTTTGTAAATTTTGATACCCTTTAGATCATAAATACTTCATTATTTCATAAACCACAATTTCATATTTTTAATTTTACATGCCATCTTACTTGATTTAAACTGGTGATCTAATATCCGGAATCGTCGATATCACGACGAGTAGGAAATTCGGACTTTGTACTGTATAACAAATTTAGCAAACTTTGGGCGACGAAAAATTGGTAAACAAGTCGTCAAAGTAATGATAAAGTCAAAGTACAATGATGTCTTAAAAAACAGTAGTCTAATCTGAAATTTACGCGATTATAAATTTAATCTGTGTATAAACATTTTAAAAATGACTTAGACGGTTATACACTGCTCGACATTGGAAATGCAACACCAAGGAGTGGTCAGAAATTTATGCAAATTTTAGAGTAGACGCACGTCACTGAGTTATGCGAATGATGTGAAATGCGCAGCTCTCCGACGCACGTGAAGTAAGATATAAGGGAAGGAACGTGCATAATGGGCAATATTTGCGTCGTTATTTCTGCCAGACGATTTATCGAAGAAAGTTGGTTGTAATAGGAGAGAATGCCAGGCCGCCGTCAACGAAGGCGCTTCCAGCAGATAGACGATTTTACGAGGGGTATCGTGATCGGACTGAGAAGGGCGGATTGGTCCTTACGTCAAATCGCAGCGGATACCCACATGGATGCGAGCACGGTGCATCGGCTATGGCGAACATGGTTGGAACAAGGAAATGTGGGAAAAAGGAGGGGTGCAGGTGCAGCCAGAGTGACGTCAGCACGCGTGGATCGACGCATCCGCCGACAAGCTGTGGCGGTAACGGAAAATGGTTCTGGTTGGTTGAACGTGGCCTGCACTCACGGCGTCCGTTAAGAAGACTGCCATTGACCCCACAACATACACGCCAACGTTTAGAATGGTGCCGGACTGGAGCGATGTGGATGACAGAATGGCGAAACGTCGTGTTCTCAGATGAGTCACGCTTCTGTTTATCCAGTGACAGTCGCCGCATACGTGTGTGGCGTCGTCGACGTGAAGACAGATCTAATCCGGCAGTAACTGTGGAACGCCGCGCCGCGCGACAACGTGGCACAATGGTTTTGAGGCGCCATTGCCTACGATTCCAGGTCACCTCTAGTTCGTATTCAGGGCACTATGACGGCCCAACGATACTTGGACAATGTACTGCGGCCGGTGGCAATCCCCTACTTTCAGGGGCTGCCTAATGCAATTTTCAGCAGGATAACGTCCGACCACACAGTGCTCGCATCTGCCAACGTGCTCTGCAAGGTATACAAATGCTTCCCTGGCCACCGTACTCTCCTGACTTGTCATCAATCGAACATGTGTGGGATGTGATTGGACGCCGTTTGCAGACTCTGCCCCTGCCTCGTTCAGAAGACGAACTATGGCAAATGGTTGAAAGGGAATGGAGAGCCATCCTTCAGGACACCATCCGCACTCTTATTGACTCTATGCCTAGACGTGTTTCTTCGTGCATCGCTGCCCGCGGTGGTCCTACATCCTACTGAGCCGAAGCCGTTCTCGCTCTGTATTCTGACTAATCATTTTGAAATAAAGATCACTTATTGCTGCTTGCTGTCTGTGTCTTTTTTCCAAATTTCATCACTTTCTGACCACTCCTTCTTGGTGTTGCATTTTCAATGTCGAGCAGTGTATATTGAAAACACAGCACACAACTGTAGCTTTTTTTCGTATTTCTTCGATAAAATTGGCTTCAATTTCTATCATTCATGACGTCAAACTACAGCCACCGCCATATTGGAAATTTATCCTTCAGAAGCAGTTGTCTAATTGTTGTTGTCTAACTTTTGTCTAATTGGTTGATCACTACGCAGGACACAGCTACAAACGAAACATTTTCGGCAAAGTTTCAAAATGTTCTGCACTGCCGGGACATCACCTCCAGTCATGCTTGTAGAAAATCAAGCCTCAGGTTTATTCCAATGCTGCCAGAATTTCATTTCTCGGAAATGTCCCGCTTGGACACGCGAGTACAGATTAATTGTGATTACAGATTAATTATTATTAATTACAGATTAATTATTAAAATTGTGATTACAGACTACAGATTAATTGTTTTTAAATTTTACACACAACAAACACAGTATTTGTTTAATGTACATTTCTGCTCCTTGTAAATATGCAAAGTGTAGCA